GGGGATCTCCTGTGATCAGCAGTGATCCTCCAGAAGTGGAGCCGGGGCCCGGAGCGGGAACCCCCCCTGGATGGGGCCCCAGGCTTTGTGTGTGCTCCGGAAGTTGTCTGTGCTGTGTACACTGTGCGGATACATTGTATCACTATGAGCTCCCTCCGATCTCCGGACTACACACACCGACCTGTAGAGGACTGACAGATCACAGCTGGTATCACTTGCACAGTCCTTGTGTCTGTCATTGGGAGGTATGGGCAGCGGAGCAGACATACTTTATATTGTAGTATATGACATTCACATGGGGACACGGTGAAAGCTGAGCTCCGGGATAAGCAATACCATAAGAGCCGTGTGTAGTCTTACTGAGCTTTGTGTATCTCTTACAGTATATCTGTGAGGTAGTCCAGTGTGAACCTTTGAGTTTCCTGTTATACAGACCGGTCACTGCTGCTCTCTGTTCTTGTGCAGAGTGACTGGTCTTGTCCACGCCTCCTATAGTTCTCTGCAGGAAACCTTTAGTGGGTGGAGCCTGCTGGGTCCCTCCCACAGCTCTGCTCTGTGTATAGGTTGGTTACAGCAGGGTGATGATGTCACTGCTACTTCTGCAAGGTAATGGCTGGGTTTGCAAGGGCATTGTGGCTTTTGAGGGACGTATTTCAAGTAACATTTAGTATCACCACAACGTGATAAATACATTTATGGAACACACTATAGAAATTTGGAAGGAATGTTAGTGAAAGCAGCCAGTCATTTATCATTGTCTAGGGATGTTTAGAAAAGTCTGGCACCTGATTGGTCTCCGGGGGCAACACCTTCAGACCTCCCGTCCAATGGGATGACCGGTGTAACTGTGATGTCAGTGATAAGTTGAAGCTTGTTTGCCTGAGCCCACACAAAACTGTCAATGACACCCCCCTGTCCTGGGCCAATCAGCTATGGCCGGGACGTTCCCAACCCTTTGTTACTTGTACCTGTGGCCGGCCAATGCACTAACCGAGTGGTGGGCAGAGTCTGGCCCTCCGGCTGTAGTGGAACTACAAATCCCATGAGGCATTGCAAAACTCTGACAGCCACAGACATCACTGCCAGAGACAGATGCATCATGGGATTTGTAGTTTCACCACAGCTGGAGGGCTGGAGTTTTGCTATCCTTGCTCTAACCGCAACAGAATGGGCCAGGGGGCGGGTTTCTCTTGTCAATTTTATGTGGGCTTGGGGTGCGAACTCTACCCAATGCACATCACCGTTCACTGATGGGCGACTTTGTATTACTACAAATCGATGAATTAGAAAAAGTCACCAAACCAGGAGGTGAGGGGACATCTACCATTGCTGACTCTGTCACAGATGGGATTTCTGGGTGTGACTTTGGTACAGGAAGTGTGCTGCAATCTCCCCAGTGGGGTCACTGACAACAAAATGTGATGTTGTTTCTAACCCTTCATTACCTTTCCAAACATTTTGGCTTTGGGTTCCACTTTAAAGCTGAACTCCAGGAAAACAACTGAAAGGCTGCAAACTCCGGCCAATCCAGCTGTAGTGAAACTAAAAATCCCATGATGCATCTGTCTCTGGGAGGTCATGCCTGTGGATGTGACAACCTTGCAGTGCCTCATGGGACTTGTAGTTCCACAACAGCTGAAGGGCCGGAGTTGCCCACCCATCTACACCCAAATGCCGGGGCCAAAAATCTCCCCGGTCTTCCTTCACACATAGAGCCCCGCGAGGAGAACAGAGTATGATGTGTCCAGTGAGATGGAATATTATGTACACTATGTGATTTGTTACTATGGAACTGGGCGCACCAGTATGACCAGTTTGTTTTCAATTTTTGGCTGTCAGGGAGTCTTGTAATGAATGATTTTCTGTCTTAAGGTATGAGCTTCATTCCTTCTACTTTCCACTGCTAACATTATAGACGTGTTACAGTGCAACTGAGGCCAGAGAGGGACTAGAACGCTGGTCAGGTTTCATTGCTGTCTGTGTCTCCGTTCAGGAGATTCCACTCTCCATTTGTCCTGATGACCGTTCTCACTGAAAGTGAAAGAAAATCCCACATTTTTGGTTGTTACCGGGACAGGAATAGATGGGAAATCTGCCGGCGGAGAGGTGAGTGTTTTCATTATTGATCAAAATAATTTTAATCGATCAAAAATGTTAACAATTAATCGTTAATTTCCGCAGCCCTAAAAAAATTATATAATAAAAAATAATTGGTCCAGTAAATGGGAATTCTGGGGGCGCTGCCTGATCCGTACCAAGTTCGCACATCACTGAGCTCGGTCGCAGAATCGTCGCTGTCCTCACTTTCCGTGTCTGACGACGAATTTCCCAACGAATCGCTATCGCTCAATTCGGCAAATGATTCTAATTTACTATCGCTGTTTTCTAGCTGGTCTAAAACCGCTTTGACCTAAAGGGACGCTTTTTGGATGCCATGGACGTTCTCAAGTTTCCAGGAAGAAAGAACAGTAAAAGTGCAGGCAGGGCAGTGGACAAAGCTCTAGGGACAAAATTGAAGTGAAATGGTTTGATATATATAAATGTAATCATAGCAAATTACATTGTATTCTGTGTACATTGCATCTTTTCACTTTTGAATTTCCCGCCGACTCCGCCCCCTGCTGTGACGCCCGAAAACTAAACTAAAAGTCAGATGCCGGCATCGGCCGGCCGCGTACAGCAGAGGACGCCGCGGGCTCGCAGGGACAAGGTAAGTGACACTTTTGTGAAATCCCGAGTGTAGCTCGGGGTTCCCGCTATGGGTACTGAAAATGAACCACGAGCCACACTCGGGAATACCGCCAGGAAGGTTAATGCTCCCAGCTCACAGGTTCATTAGATGAGAGCGGACGGATGATCAGCTGGACCTGATTGTTGTGTAGTTCCATGGTAAAGAATGATTTGGTGATCAGTCCTTCAGTATTCAGATCAGAATGGCAAAGTGGTGTTTTCTGGGCTGTATGGGGCCTACATTGTCACCAATAACCAGTCAAAGGATTTAAACTGAATGAGGTCCTAGTTTTTGCTATAAGTTATTATGATGACATTCCCTTTTATCATTTCACAATTGGCTGACATGCCTGATTTACATAGATCATACGTGATCTCACCGCCATCTGATAGGGACTAACTAAACCTGTACATTGCTTGTGAACCAAAAGAAATGGACTTATGGTGAACTTACATGCTCCTCTTGTGTCTGGACCTTATACCCTGCATACCTGGTCATTGACAAGGTTGGTTTAAGCACCATCATCATCAGAGCCTACTAAATGCCCCAAGCCTTGACGTACATTTCTGCTCGATGCCTGTGAGCTGCTAGATATGTTATCCATTCCTCCAGGATCATAGAAAATCCACATCAAATGCTTTCCAAAGGCTTCCTGGACACTTACAGGATTTTGGGAAGTGTTCCCATTTACTTCTACTGAAGGCACCAGAAATTGTCCACAGGCATCAGCACCTGGCGAATGTTGCTTGCCACTAGAGATAAGGCTGATCTTTGTTCACCTAATGCCGATCAAAACTCTGACCGCCAACCCAATCAATTGCAGGGAGGTGCATTTCCCGCCCCGCAGCTATACATTGCAAAGGAACAGAAAATGCCCCCAATGCAACTGCCAAAATTGATTGGGTCACAAAGAGGGGCTGGCGGTCAAAGTTTTGAACAGGCTTGGGCAAACTCTGGCACCAAGCCTCATCTCTACTTTCCACCTCCAAATCAAAGCACGTTGTCCCAAAGCAACACAAATGCTTTTCTTCACAGCAACAATACTACAACATTGAACTACAGTTCTAGGATTGAGGCGTTTGGGAAGCATTTAAAAATGTTTCCAATTGCGTACCAAACATCGGCTACCAACAACGGTATAAACAGACCAGAAGATCTCCCAAACCACCAAGTTCCATTAGTGGGTGGACACTGATGGGTCAGGATCTCAGCAATGAAACTTACATAGTTACATACTTACATAGTATTTGAGGTTGAATAAAGACATAAGTCCATCAAGTCCAACCTATTGTGTGTATGCATTTATGAGCTGATGTGTGCATGTGTACGAGTCCATGTGTGATTTTTCTCTTAGCTATAGCTGTACCCCTGTATATTATGGTCTCCCAGGAACTCGTCCAGGAGTCTCTTGAATGATTCCACACTCTTAGCTGAAATCACTTCCTGTGGCAGCGAGTTCCAGACCTTAACCGCTCTAACTGTGAAGAACCCCTTGCGCCCTCTGTGGTGACATTTTTTTCCCACCAATTTTAGGTTGTGCCCACTGGTCTTTGTTACAGAGCTGACCGTAAACAGTTTGTTACTAAGGTTGCTGTCACCCTTGAATAGTTTATACAGGAAAATGCTGTCCCCCCTTAATCTAACCTCCAAAGAGAACATATTTAATTTTAACAACCTTGTTTCGTAGTTCAGATCCTCGAACCCCTTAATGAGTTTGGTTGCCCTCTTCTGGACTTTTTCCAGCTCAAGGACATCCTTTCTGAGTATCAGTGACCAAAACTGGACCGCATACTCCAGATGTGGCCGAACCAGTGATCTGTAAAGTGGCAAAATTATAGACTTGTCCCTGCAAAACATTCCCTTCTTAATGCAAGACAGGACTCTGCTTGCTTTGTTTACAGCAGCCTGGCACTGTGAGCTGTTATTCAATCTGCGGTCTATAATGACCCCCAAATCCTTCTCTGTTTCCGACTTCCCTAGTTGCACACCCATAAGTGTATAGTCCATTTGCCTGTTTTTAGCTCCAAGGTGCATTACCTTACATTTATCGACATTGAACTTCATCTGCCATACAGTTGCCCACTCCCCGTAACAGTTGCCCACTCCCCTTCCCGTTCATGGAGGCACACCAGACCCCTCAAGTTTTCAGTATACCCACCAATATTCTATTAGATTACTGCAAACCATATTGATTATTCTTGTATTTGACCGCAATTTGTTTTCTTTTAGATTGAAGTATCTTCTAAACACTGCTTCACACGAGGATTTAACGTCACCTGTAAATGGTTATGAAATGTTGTTTTTAACGTCCTGTGATATGACAAGAACACATCACGTGGTGTCGCCCAATAACTGAAAACTTCTTTAAACAGTTTATAAGGCTTTATGGACGGTTACTAGTGCAAGAAGAACAGCAGGTCAATCATGGATAAAAAGTCATTTGAGATGGTGCTGGACGAAGTCCGAAAGGTAAAGCTTAGCTATTTCCTTTTTATAATGGCATTACTGTACTGTAGTCTTTGGTTATATTATACCAGGGCTGGACACATCCCAGGAGCTAGGTAGCTAATGCTCTTAAAAATGGCAGCTGGCACCTAACTTTCGAGCTATCCTCTGGTTGTTGTCTCTGAAAAAATGTGTCTGGCTCCTGAACTCCTTATAAATTTGTCCACCCCTCTTGTGAGGGAACCATGGGCCCCAGTGGTCTAGTCTAGCAAGAAATTATACTTTGTTTAATAATTAAACTTTTATCTCTGTATAACTTTAATTTCTTGCTTGCCTAGAACTCTGGGGACCCGTGGTTCCCTCCGCTAGAGGTTGGAAAGTGATATTAAATGAAACTTATTTTTAAGGCTTCTTACAAATAAGCCTTACAAATACTTTGGATGCCTAAAAACATACCACAACCGGGGGGGAGAGCTATTGGCTATTGTAGTGCTCATGACCATTTCTCTCTTGCTCCTTGCTGTGCCAACTGCTGATGCTTTTTTCTCTGAGCTGCTGACCCGGAACAGATCTAAAGATAAGACACTTAACAATTTTATTTTTTTTATCTTTTCAGAATATTCTTAGTACATAGGGCAGCAGTTCTGATGTGTTCAAATTAATTTCAGCAAATTGCATCATCAGACTTATTTCCCAGCAGCAGTAGTCCATAGGGGATGATTTTTTTAAACTTCTGCCCGGCCATATGCTAGGCGAATGCCGCTCACACAGCAATCCAGCCATTAGTTGGAGCATAGGAAATCCCTATGCTTCTCGGGTCCATCTAATGGTGGGAATGTTGTGCGGACGGCATTTGCCCAGCATATGGCTGGGTGGAAGATTTATAATGCATCCTCATAGTGTTGTGTCTCTATTCCAGACAATTGTTTCCTAAGATTTGCCAAGGTCTCAGTGTTAGCAGGGTATAACCTGTTCTCTGTTTCTGTTCTCAGGCGGTTATGACAGATTATAAAGTCAAGTCCTTGGATTATGTGCATGGATATTTTTCTTGTGAACAGGTAACTTTAAAAAAAAATAAAAAATTGATAAGCTTTCATGAAATGTGATATATTCTGAGTAATTTCAACCATACAGTGTCAGTGCAGTAATGGAAGTGGTACCAATGGCCTCTGGTGCCCACGGATTGTGGTACCAATGGCCTCTGGTGCCCACGGATTGTGGTACCAATGGCCTCTGGTGCCCACGGATTGTGGTACCAATGGCCTC